ACTGCCCAAAAAAATAACATCTACTGAACCGCAAGGCTTAAATCTAATTGAGTTGCATTTGACTTTAACAGGTGACATTTGACTTTATCCATGTTAAAGTAATTTTTCTTTTATAAAGAAGAGTGGAAATAAATTTTTTCATTGTTGTTTAAATGAATCCACTCAAAAAAGTTTGGAAACAAAGGTGTCAAATGAAAAAGCAACCTAGGTATTTACAGATCTATGAGGCAACCCCGATTAGTTGAACATCACATAGTTAGCGATATGTATAACCATTAGAATGTGCAAAATAAATAAAAATGTACAAAATACATGCTGAAAACAAAATCTATCCTAGAAAGAATAACAACACAGTGAGCTGCCTATAATGCCTGACAGTAGGCTACTCTATGCTTGACAGTAAGATGTAATTATTGGACAGAACTCGACTGGGTGGATCTGAAGTGATTCTTGACCAATATAACTGGATATTAATGATATCAGTGCCTCCAAATTAGTATAAATAGACCTGAAATGAGCTGTGGTTGACAGGGCTGTCCCAGGATGCTATGGAGACCTGCTCGACAGTGGCCCTCACCAATCAGGACTTCCTAATTACTGTGGAGGACGAAGCTTCTCCAGCTCCAGCTCCAGCTCCACCTACACCACAACCAGAACCTAAAAGAAAGAAGGTAATTTTCACACAATAAAAAGTTTGGCTTATATCACATTCACTAACTAACATTTTTTTTTGTCTTTATGATTATATAATTTCCACACAGGAGAGAATCTCAAAGAGCATCCACAGATCCACCAAGAGGAAGAGGCGGACAATTGCGGATGAATCTGCAGAGTCTGTTATTGACTGGTGGTCCAAATACTTTGCATCTGTAGACAAACAAGTAACTGAATATTCTGTTTTGTGCAGAAACAGTCGTCTGGTAGTTTTAGGAGACTTCAACATGTGCTGTTCTCTTTATTTCAGGCAGCCCAGAAGACAAGCTTTGAACTACCAAACGCGTTTGAGAAAGGTAAATAATTCTCATCTGAGGTTAAAAGGAATGCGCTGTCCCAGTTTATCTGTTTTATGTTGCCAAGACAGGCCCCAATAACTCACATGAACAAACTGAAATATTCAAACCAGCCAAGTGCTGTTCCCTTAATTCATATAAAACGTTAAAGAGTTTTAATTTAAATTGAATTCAGTTTATTTCTATAGCGCCAATTCACAACACATCATCTCAAGGCCCTTTACAGTTCACCAGATCATCCAGTCATTCTGTTTTCTATCTAAGGAAAACCAGTTGATTGCATCGACCTATTGACTCTTCAGCAATCCCTCACATTAAGCATGCTTGTAGCGACATTGGAGAGGAAAAACTCCCTTTTAACAGGAAGAAACCTCCAGCAGAACCAGGCTCAGTGTGAGCGGCCATCTATGAGGCCGACTGGGGTTCAAGGAGACAGAAGCAGACATAGAAAAAAGAGGCAGAGATAAAGGGCAACTGTAAACCAGTCCCTGTGCAGGAAACACACAGCCAGGCAGACCAGCTCAGAGCCAGCTCCAATGTCAGAGGATGAAGAGAGCACATCCAGTCAGTCACAGTCAGAGAAACAGGACTACACTGAAAAACAGGCCGAGCTCTAACACCTAGAAACAAAAGGGTTGATGGCTTCTGTACCTCTGTTTGCTTAAGAGATCCTGCTGATTCCAATTGAAATGGGTCAGATTGCACAGTGCCTGAGCATGCATGGTAGCAGTTAATTACATTAAACCTGCTGACCTTGTTCTTAAAAAACAATCCTTATCTAAGCTTAGCGCAGACCAATGACATCCTATCATGGAAACAGTAACCCATGGTAGTTGTGGCCCATCAAAGCAGCAAAATACCTCCCTATCAATAAGCAAAAATGGTTCAGGATTGGTTTTATACTTCCCAAGAATAAGTTTAAGCTGTTGATTTTAAGTTACATTTTCTAGATCCTAGTTTAGTTGAGAAACATTCAGAAATGTGCCTTTATAGGAGGTCTTTTCAGGGGTCTGGTAGTCTGTATTCTGACGCTTGGCAGCAAGACAGGGACGATTTCACATCAAGCAGGGGGTCGTGATACTGTAAATCAGAAATTTACAGAAACATTTAGATCTATTTGGGAATAATAAAGTATTTCTGAATGCTGATCTGAATATTGTCCATTTCCCTCTTGAATTGAATAAGCTTAAGTGGATTAAAGTGTATATTTGAAGGGTTTTCCTGCCATTGAATCATTTTGTTGTGAAATTTATTGCTCGTGAAATCTTTTCTTCTACCTTTATTTTCTGTATTGATATTAGATTATTGTTTTATCATAACTAAGTCCCTGGGTCAACCAGGATGCGAGACATTTTTAAACATTTATCAATAATAACAAACACCAAAGACGCCTCAAGGAAACTATCATAAAGTTAAGCATTGTTAATAAAGGAAGGGTGTTGTGTTTTTGAGCTCACACTTATATCTGATGAGGTGAAGGTAAATGTCGCCTGACCGTCATACATTGTTGTGCATTGCAGCTTCACCATACCACAGCATGCTCAGCGATGGAATAGACACTTTGGGTAAGGATTCAGCTGCAGGAGTTCTTGCTAGGGACAAATTCACCATCTGGTAATTTCACCTCCTGGGGAGTAATCTTCTGCTTGGTCACTGAATGATTTTCTGCAGGATTTGGGGACTTTGTGAATCTGTTTGGTTTCTATGGCACAGCTGCAAACAGATGTCACTCCAAGGCTTTT